AAGCACTTAGCAGAGCAGATTTCACAGGTTTATCAGGAAATCTTTGTGATGCCAGATTTTTCCCCAGGATCCGCTCTAGCAAGGCAAGGAGCTGCACCCTCCCCAACAGGTATTCAGATTTAAGGGGAATAGAGCCAGGAAGCGCTTCTCCCAGAGAACACGGGGACTCGGGCTTTGACAAAGGGGGGGAGGTGAGAGTCCATTGCTCTTTGTTGCAGCCCCCTGAGTCCTTCCATGAAGGCCTCCCAAGTGATCCAGTCTGGCCTAGGTTGCCCCCCGCTGTGAGGGGCCTTACCTGTCATTGACTTCTGACCAAGCTTTGGGGGCAGGGAGAGGAACTGAGGCAGCGTTTGCTACCAGAGACAGGCTTTGTCCCCTGCAGCTGGCATTCCAAAGGTCCTCTCTTGCCCTTAGCCACAAGGGGTAGAGATACAATTCCTAAAATCAGGCAGAGCGGTCTACAACATAGAAATACATAAAAAATTTAAAAAATTAAAATCCCTCAACTATTCCACAGCATGTAGCACAGCTGAGAGTCTGGTAACAAGCCCATCCTGATGACAAGTTGCCAGGCCCTCAACAGCTAAGGCAGGAGGGCACTGAGGAAACCACACAGCTGTTCAGCTCACTGCATTCTCAAGGTGAGAGTGCTCTCAAATTCTCTGGTTTCATTCTGGACTAGCCCCAGTCAGACTTCCAGAAAATTGATCTGATGTTCTTAGGAAGTGAAATTTGAGGCTTTCTGAATGCGCCTTGGGAGGTTAGTTCTATTTTGAGATACTGTGGAGTCAACTCAAGGTCCAACTCAAGGTTTTCCCTGAGAACAAATGCAATATAGTGATTTATGTTGACTCTACATGATTTCAAATGAGCAAGCTGTTTTATCAGATTACTAACTTGGTATACCCTCGCACCCAACATTTTTCAAAAAGAGTAAATTAATTATCTATTGCATGTTAATAAATTACTCCAAACAAAAGTGGCTTAAATACAAACATTTATTATCTCACAGTTTTAGTGGATGAGATATTTAGGGGTGCTTCTCAGGGTGGTTCTGGCTTAGGGTCTCTCATGAGGTTGCCATCAGGTGTGAGCAGGAGTCACAGTCAGCCCTGCCTCCAGATGGCTCACTCCCATGGCAGTGGCTGGCCTCACCCCTACGTCTCCTCCACTGTGCTGCTTGGGTGCCCTCACAAGATGGCAGCCAGCTTTCCCCAAGTGAGGAACCCCAGACAGAGCAAGGAGGAAGCAATGCCTCTTGTTACCATAAGTGACACACATTGACCTCCTTACTCTATTTGTTGGAAGGGTATCGCTAAATTCAGTCCATATGCAAAAGGAGGGCAAGGAAGCTCCACCTTTTAGAGAGATGCATATCCAAAAAATGGTGGTAGATTTTAGAACCACCACAGATAAAGCATTATTTCATTATCTGTTATGAACTTATCAGTGCCCACTGCACCTTCCATTATTTTCAAATTAACATTTTAACCAACAAGATAAATATCTGTCAAATATCCAGGCAGAGAATTCAAGTATATCAATTTCTGGAAGGGCAGGTCCACTTATGTTCAGTTTCCTTTAGACAAACTTCACATTATTAATGGCAACAATAACAAAACACCCCAACCCCTAGCACTAAAGTATATAACCTCTCTTCTTAGGCGAGAAGCAAAATAACCTATGAAGAAATAATAATCACCAGTCTAAGTACCCTTCTTTTTCCCAGTTATCAATTAATAATCATTTCTTTCCTACATAGGAGTCAATAATGGTAAAATACTTTTATTCCATCCTTACTTAAGAGATGTATACAGAGTATAAGAACTGTGTATGTCTTCAGTACAGGCCATACTGTGTTTCCCACCTAGTGGATAAAAATTGTACTAAAGCATTTGAAAAACAAAACTCACTTCATAGATTCTTCATGCGTTAACCCTTCTGTTAACTTTTTATAATCATATCACATAATTGATGTCTATAGGTAGCTTCCATCTCAACAAATCCTGCAGTTCTTTCTATAAAGCAAACAATCTTGTTCATAAATATACATTTTTGTGCACACTGCCACCTCTGAAATCTCCAGGCCAGCAACCTGGAACATTACCAAAGACCAGGAAATAATCCGAAAAGTCTTCCAGCAGCCAAAAGATGTCCCAGTGTCACACAGTGAAGCCTTGTTAGACCGACAGCTGAAAAAGCCTGGCACGAGGACCTCAACCCTCATTTGTCAAGGGAACCGACAAAGCCCATGTGCTTTACTCCAAAGAAGAGTCCTCTTTCTCACCTTATACATTACTTACAGAAACCTTCCCATCTGGATTCTGATCTTACAGCCGGTCAGAAAGGGCAAGAAGTGACCCACGAATGTTCACATTTGTACTAAGATTGACAGCTGGCAGCAAGTTAAGTGTTGGAAAAGAAACACAAAACAAACAGTGTCATTCTTGGGGCCAGTCAGTCAGAAACAAGCGGTGCAGTACAACTTGATTTATGACAATAATGTGGAGTTACAAAGAAATGGTTGTGTTCCACACACTGCTTAAGAATGTAACATATTTTAGACACATTTTTGAGAAGACATTTTAAAAAGTTTTGTTACTTAACAGGATGATTCAGAAAAATGAATTTCCTGAAGTTTCCAAACAATTAAAGCATGATACTTCAAGCAGACATTAACTTAAAAAACAATTTTGCTACTGCTACATTAAAATAAATGATTGTACTACTGTCCCTCACATTTAACACATGTCCTTTAAGAAAAACAGACAAACGGAGTCTCTCTGTTCCTCGGTCACCAGTTTGCACTTTAATACACAGGTTCTCTTCTCCCTTTAAATTCTAAAAATTAGGCTTTAAAAAGAAAAAAACCTTTCCCAAATTCTACTTCCTAGGTATTTTTTTCCTGTGTTCAAAACAAAAAAACTACCAAGAATATGCCAGCTTCTAATATCAATGAGTTTTCTAACTGAAGTTTTTCTTACAAAACTTTGGTTTTTAACTGTAACTTAGTCTTCCAAAGGGTACTCTTTTGTTGGGAACCACTCTGCCTGGTTTCAGGAGTTGTAACTGCCCCCATGGACAAGGCTCAGTGAGCGACCTCCGGACTGTGAGCCACAAAAGAGACAAAGCTTATCTCCCTGGCAGGGGTGCGGCTTCTGCTTCATCCATCTCTGGCCCCCAGTGCTTGGTCAGTTAGTCAGTGATGGGTAAGACCCCTCAGAGGGGGGGCAAACTAAGCCAGACACGATCACTTGGGAGACCATCATGGCAGGACTCGGGGCTGCGGCAAAGAGGGAGTAATGGACCCTCGCTTCTTGGCTATTCTGACATAGCCCGAGTCCCCATTTCCATCTGGGAGAAGCGCTTCCTGGCTCTAATCCACTGAAGCCTAAAAACCTATGATGGGGGAGGCGGTACAGCCCCTTGTTGGCTAGAGCAGGTTCTGGGGTGATGAGGCGTAAGAAAAAGTTCGTAAAGTCCTGCAAAGCCTGCTCTGCTAAGAGTGCTTTCATTCATATGATAAGGGTCCGAGCAGGAAATGAGTATGTCTCCTGAAGTTTTTGCAACCCCCTTACCTGACAGACACTGACACAGATTAAGCCCTCAGATTTCTTTAAATGTTATCTATTGTTTGATCCTGGCTGCCTGACATTGATTGATGAGCTTTACCTGTATTCCTGTGTGTTATGAACCTAATAAAAGCCCTTGAGGAAGGGGTTCTTGGTCCTTCTCCTGTGAGAGATTGACCACCTTTCCTCCCCAAGCAGTTCGTGTCTTGGTAGTGTTATTTTCATCCGTGGCAGATGGGAGACTTGCAGGCAAAGTTTCCCCCACACTTTTCCACATAATTTAATTCAAATGTAATGGACTATCTATGAGTACTTTGCTAGGGTAAGACACAGCCCCTATCCAGGAAGATCCTGCTATTTGTATGGGAAAGGGAGGGAAGGTAGACAGGAGAGAGAGAAGCAAATGCTGTAATAACTTAGTGGAGCTGAAGAAAGGCTGGGATCATCCCCGGCTAAATGAAAAGGACAGCAAATTGCTCACTACTGACTGACTGGTGAGAACAAACTCACACTCACTCTTGCGTATTCCCCACCTTCATCCCTCCTTCCTTCTTGCCCTATATTAAGCTATCTGAGCTTAAGTGCTTCCAAATACTTTTGATCACTACTAGTAGACTTGGATTAAAATAACAGTGCCAAAGGCCTGAAATGACAAAGGAAAGTCAAACAACAAACAGCACTTTTCATCACTGTGTAGACAATTTTATATGTGATTTTGCCTCCTTAGTTATCCTAAGGAAGGCCATGGGGGTCCCACCCAGGTTCTGGAGGTAAAAAAAGAAATATGATTAGAATTCTGGTGCTTTAAAAAAATTAAGGAAGGATTCAATAAAGGTACACATTCTTCTGAAGTAAAAAACTATGTAATAGCTCTGGAGAGGTACATAAACCTCTGCTCTCTTCATGACAAAGACAACAATGTGACAAATAATTTTGGCTTAAGTATCTCACAATAGTCATTATACAAAGTCTATTTTTATTCTAAGGGAGCCAAAACTCTAGAGAACCTACCAACTTGTCCTTCCCCTCATTCCCACTGCTGTGGTCCTCTTACAGAAATAACAGAAGCTCAGGTCCTCTTACAGAAATAACAGAAGCTCAGGAGAAGGTACAAAGTGCCAGCATGTGTCATGTTTTCCCAACATGTCAGCCATGTGTATATGTGAACACATCTGTGGGTTTTTCAGAGAAATATCTTCTTGCTTTTCGGCTGAATGTGCACACAAGGCAATCCAATCACTGGGTAACAGTGTCTACACAGGAACAGAAACCATGTGAACTGAAGTGGTTACTAAACACAGTGCAGCTTTAGGTTACTCTAATTATTTGAAAAGTCTGTCAGTAAATAGCTAATATATTGCTTCTTGCTTCAACATGTAATAATTTTCGATGAAAGCTGATCATCTCTGATAAAAATTCTGGACCACGTTAACAATGAATAAAATATTTATTGTGATTTTTTCCCCTGTGACATAAGATTGTTTATTTTTCCTAGCTCTCCAAATGACACAGTTGCAGAACCTCTTTCAGCCGGTCTTGCCTGAAAATAATAATAAAGATTAAAGATATTAGAAATAGATAAATATATAGTCCTAAACACCTTTATGCTGTTTTACATTTTTTAAAAATCCCCCTCCCTAAGTAAACAAACAATAAAAAGCAAATGGGAACATACACACACTAAGAAAAGTGATTTGTTGTGCTGTTACCTGTGAATCATGATATTTCCATCCTATCATGTAATAGATCTGATATGTGGCAGGTACCGAACCATCCTCATTTCTGTACATTTCTATGAAGACAAATAATGGTTATAGTCTGAAAAAAATGCCAGTAGGAAAAATAATTTGCTTGATAAAAGTCACGTCCTCAAAAGACAAATGGATATTAGGATGCTCGCAGGATTCTAGAAATGCCTCACCTGAAAATCCTCAATACCTGAGAAATTGGTAGTATGGAAATAGTAAGGACTGTTTGGAAAAGGGATACAGAGCTATAGGGTCTGTGTTTTGAAGGAAGGACAAGAAGTCTGATGGTGCCTGAACAGGAAAGGAAAAAGCACTGGCAACTGTGAGAGAGAAACATGACAAGGGACAAGTTCCCCAGGAGCAGACAAGTGTGTCCGGGTAGCAGACCAATGGGCTTCCCTACCTCTGTACACAGCTGCAGCTGCCAGCATCGTGTCCCGGTGCAGGAGAGCTTTTCTATTCCACGCGCAGTTGCTCTCACCCATACCTAAAAATACACTACAAGCAGTTTGAGATCATACAGCAAATACCCTGAGCAGCTCAATCGATACCTCAGATTTAACCTTATGCCATCCAACAGTACACCATTCCCTAATAGTCATGTAAAACAACTAAATAATCTCATTTTGCTCTCAGAATGTAGCGAGGCTTCTTAGTGACTAAGGCAAAAATACCTGAAGCTTCTGGGTATTAAGACAAGTAGAGAAGTCAAATTTCAGGAGGCTATGCCCATAAGCACATTTTATTTGTCAGTGATGGTCCAAAGTGAGCCAGCTGGGCAAAAATTGAGGTGAGTGGCCCTCCAGGTGAGTCATCAGGATTGGCAAGTGCCTTTCCAAGGATGCCACATTTTATGTCCCTTTTAGCTGCTCTTCAAAGGACAGGACAGTGCTACAATGCCTTACTCCTTCTAAGCCGTGACTAATATGATCATGAAACTTGGAAAAGAGCTCTGACGCTCATTAGATTATACCAAAGCTGATGGGTTTCCAAATTTTATAATTCTTCACTCATCTAAGAAAACATTAGGAAAAAATTAAGTACATTCTTTTCAGGGGTACTATCCTAAATGTTTAAAAATTTATTTTTAGATTTCTTTCTGCTAAGTTGATAACTAAAGGCTGGGGTTAATATTATTCTATTGTTCATTAAAAATTAGTGTTATATATTTGATTCTTCTTTATGCATATACTTAGACAAAATTACTTTGAAAGGCCAGATTTTAAACTAGTCTTCAAAATTTAAAAAAATTCAAAAGCAAAAATCCTTTATATATATTCTCCATATACTCGTATATACTACAAGAAAGCAAAAATCAGTTTCTTGATTTTGTTTTTCTACTTTCACAAAAGAAAACCAATAAACTTCTCAATATCAATGTTCATTATTATTTTACAAACAATAATCTCCCAAGTTTTCAATGGCCTTCTTGAAAACAATCAACAAATTAGCTGTAGTAAGTAAACCTCGCTCTTTCCAATCATAAAGGCTCCCATCATTCCCTAAAATAATGAATCTCTGATACTAAAAGCAATGTCTCTCATCCTGTGAGTTAAACAGTCCCACTTCATGAAGGCCAACAGACAGACGAACCAGGAGATTAATCATCATGAAGAAAAGGGTGGATCTTATTCATGCTGTCACAAAGCAGCTAGATGATCTTAGACCAGTTGCTCTGGGTCTTTAAAGTGGCCAGACTAGATCATCTCTAAGGCTTCTAATGCTAACATTTTAGACCCACTACATAATCTCATTTTAAAACATTCTCCTATATAGTATCAACTGTATCAGGGCACCAGAGGTAAATGGGGACTCACATTGGAAGAGTCTATTGCTGCTAATGGCTGTGGTGCTCTCGCTTCTGCTTAACTTCCTGCTGCCATGACACATTAGTTAGCAGGCAGCACCAGTGAGAAACAGGTTTAATTTTTTAATGTAAATACATAATGCATTTCCATGAAATGCTTTCTAAATAATTGTTATTAGGATATACTAATTAAGATTACTAGGCATAATGCTTTTTCTGAAGGTCTGACCTAGGTCTAACCCAGGCATAATGCTCCTTCTGATGCAGGGATTCAAGAGCACTCCTGCACAGCAGAGACAGAAACTCTGCTGCTAGTGCAGCCCACCCTCCCCTCACAGGGAAGTGCACAGCCGCCCTGAACTCCCCTTCTCCTGCACAGAGTCTAGAATTTGGGATCAAAATCCCAGTTCTGACTCTTTCATAACCTGGAGCAAAGTAATTTAACCTCCATGAAACTCAGATTTGTGATCTTCAAAATGGCATGATAACACTCCATAATGCATTCTGATGGACCTTTACTGAAGACGACCTGGGAAATACATTTGTGGACGTCTGACCAGCTCTGGGCTTTGTCATAATAGAAAAATCTGGAAGGAGGTAACTGTTTAAGATTCTCACAGTGTTGTTTTTTTTTTTTCTTTTAAGAGAAATATCAGTATGTGTTTGCCTCTCACATGCCCCATACAGAGGACCTGGCCCACAACACACGCATGTGCCCTGGCCTGGAATCGAACCGGTGACCCTTTGGTTCACAGGCCAGTGCTCAATCCACTGAGCCACACCAGCCAGGGCCTCACAGTGTTTTTAAGGTGAAGTTCAACTGTTTATTTTAAAAAAATGTAATTTATTCTGATTTACTAGGAACAATACTGAGTATTGTCTAAAACAACGACAACTGAACTTACCTTAAAACTACTGTGAAAGCCTCCACAACTTTTCGTGCACTCACTGCTGATATTTTACACAACTTGCTGTGTAAAATCGACATTTTTCTGTGAATTAATAATAATGGCAGCTTAAATGAGAAACACCACAACCACCAAGAAAAAAGTATAATGCAATGTAAAATACCAAAAACCAATTTGAAGGTAGTACTATCTTCCAATCTGCAAAACCGTACACCTGGGAGTCACCCAAGCTTTTCCTTTCCTCATCCCCTGACTACTATTCTCCTATCTTAGCTCCCTCTGACCTTTCAGGAGAAGGGTAAGGATTTTGGGTCTGAGTCAGGCTGCTATGCTGGGTTTAAATCCTGGATCTACCACTTATTAAATACATCACCATGAGCAAGTTACTTCTCTCTGTGCCTCAATTTCAACAGGTTAACTATACTAGCTCTGGTCTTACCTTCCTCATAAAATATACTCATACGCAATGCTGCAGAGCGAGCCCTCTAACACACTAATTTGACTGTTGCTCCTCTGTGCAAAACTTTTCTAAGACACTACCAGGCTCACTTAATAAAACCTAGAAAACTCTAATGGACTATCCTGCATCATTTTCCATCATCTCCCCATTTTACATGTTCAAGCGATACTGAAATACTGTACAGTTCCTTATTAAGGAAGAACATATCCTTTTACATCTCTATAACTCTACACAGGCCATTTCTTTGGCCTGGAATGCAATGCCTGCCCTGCCCCAAATCAGCACCCACCCCTTTGTTCTCCTGGCAAGTTCATTTTAGCTTAGGTGCTGCCTCTTCTACAAAAGCATCCCTTATGCCCTAAGATTTAGGGGCTTTTTCTCCCTGTACTATAAAAAAAAATGATCTCATTTTACAGCTAAATAGAGATGTTTGTCTATATCTCTGTGTCTCTCTACTATAACATAAACTCTCTGAGATCAGGGACCATGTGTTTCCATCATTAGCTCAATGGCTGGTTCATGGTAGATGCTCAATAAATGGTAAGTGAATGCATATAAAATCAACCAGTTAATGTTTATATCTACTTTGTTAAATATCACTTTTACAAGTTATCTTTATATAATTCCTCTTAATCCTCCTAAGGACAGGAAACACCTGAGACTAAAACACATGATTTGTGTAAAAGACTTTACAGCAGAAATAAGGGCACTGAAAAAAACTTCTTAAAGATAAATAAAAAGCAACAGTTTCTCAAAATAATGATCAATTTAAAACCCAGATTATCAATTGGGAGGGGGGCACAAGGCAACCTTCTAGTGACTAGCAATGCTGTATACCTTTGTTTGGATGGTGGTTAAAATTACGAGCAGCTGTATACTTAAGATTAATGCATTTTACTGAACATCTATCTACCTTAATTTTTAAAAAGCCCACACAGATCAAGTATGTGATATAGGGCTCTGGATTCAAATCATAAGTCTAGACTTAGCGTGACCATGGACAAGATACTTAACGACTCAATGTCTCAATTTGCTCATCTGTAACATTAGGGTATTAGAAAATATCATTAAATTACACCTAGCATAGAGTAAATACTGTATTTTCAGATCAGTGGGCGGCAACCTCTTTCAACTGACAGGCCTACTTTCTCATCTCTCTTGAAATGAATCATGAGCACAGCATTTATTATATAGAACAAAAATAAATGCTGTATTTGAAAAAAATTTTTATCATTCCAGTCTGAACAATAAATTACCAATGCACCACCATCTCTCAAGCTCTCAGGTAAAGGGGCTCCATGATCACATCAGGGGGAGCCAAGTGTGTGCAGCAGTACTCAGGAGGGGGTACAGGATTTATTATCGGTTCCCTGTCACCTTGGGCTGCATGCTAAGGCTGCCAATCCCTTATCAAATTATAATAAATAAATAGTGACTACAAAGGTAAGTTTTCAGCTATACATCTTCCCCTTGGTAATTCTCAAAGGCTGGACAATGGGTAAAACAGACCTGTTACAAATGGGTAGCTACAAGAAGCAGCAGAAATCAAGTAAGCGTTCTAGCACAGGAGTCAATGCCAGAGTCTGGCACCTAATTCCACAAGGAAGTAAGTGTTTTCTTTAGGCCTCAGCTTTCTCACTTGTAATACATCAGAAAGGAAGTGGTTACCAGAAGGCTATTGAGAAAAGTGAGTGCAATAATGCTCACAAAAAACTATAAATCTGTAAATAGACTATTTATTTTTGTTTTACTATTTCCTTTTGCTTTAAATCATCTTTAATTTCTCAGGATCCAGATCAAGGTTTCCTTGGGTAAATACAGTACTGGTTTCATAGAACACACCTTTAATCCATTCAGCTTCCCCTACTCATTAAAATTGCTTATGCCATTTGTTTAACAAAAAATCAAGCCTCACTCATTCTCACTGAGGTAAGCTAAGGCTCTCCTTGGAGAAATCATTTTTCCAGTAGCTCTCAAATCTTGGCAGACCTCATCTCTTTCACAGTTGCAGGCTAGGGTCAGTATCCTATAGCTGCTCAAAGCCTCTTCCAGGCCATTACTTCTCCACCCTGTGAAAAACCCTTGCCCTGCTGGGACCCACACCCTGTGGCCAGAACCCTCCCCCACTCCAGCTTGTCAGACATGAGGGTCCCAGTCCATCCTTTCATTCATCAAGGGATTTGCCACTTGGTTCAGTTTCCTCCGACCACCCTGGGCAACTTCAATGTTAATAATGAACCATCAAGTATCACGGCCTCTAAGGTTTTTTAGTCTCCTTATCACTAATGGACTTCTCCAACACACCTATAACATGTTCCAAAATCATCAATTCACATATCCAATTTTCTGACCATATCCTCCTTCCAGCGTGTCCCGGTATTTCAGCCATAACCAATTTCTGACCACCTTGGGATCGCATACTTGTGCATGTCTCCTCTACTTTTCACCAACCTAACAGCTCATTGTTTTCTTTCTTTCTAGTTACCTTTCCTTCCGGCTTAGATTATTCGGCCTACTATTTCAATTATACTCTCGGAATTTTTTAAAATTTTTCAATTACAGTCAATATTACTTTATATTAGTTTCGGGTATACAGAATATTGGTTAGACATCTATATAGTTTAAGAAGTGGTTCCCCCAGTAATTCTAGTACCCACCTGCCATTAGACATAAGTCATTACAATATTATTCACTATATTCCCTAAACTGTACTTTATATCACACAACTGTTTTATAATTATCAATTTGTACTTAATCCCTTCACCTTTTTACCCAAACCCCCTCTTGGAATTATCTTTGCCTCTGTCTTTTCATCACTCTCAACTAGCAAGGCCTCAACCCAAACTAACTTTTCCGTTTTGTGCCTGATGTAGTTGGAGAAAGTCACAGATGTGTCTGACCAACTTCAAACATACCCTTCAAATTCTGTAACTTTCCCTGATCAATTCAACTTCCTATTCTCCGCAATGACTAGGGCAATTTATTTCCACTCAATTCTCAAACCTCTGATCCTTTCCTTTTCAGTATATGACACTATTTTCTGTTTGACAGATAAAATATATCCATTAGATGGAAACTTACTGGTACCAAACATAAATGCCTATGTCCATTGGAACTAACCCTCGTCCCCTCCTTTTATGCCCTGCCCCACCCCATCCGAGGTCAATCCTGCCCCAGCCTTTGCATCTCATCCCCTCCCACCTCCTCAGATATTGGACACATCAATTACCCCTTCTCTCTTCTCGAGTCATTACTATGGAAGCACTTAGGTTCTTTCAATCAGCAGTTAAACAAATTCAAGCCTTAAGACAAAACAACATTTATAACATCGCCCCATGTCCTGCTCTTCTGTTCCTCCGACATCTGTAGCCTTTCCATCTCCTACTTCTTATTCACAGGCTTCTTGAGAAAACAGTAGATATTTGCTGTCCTCATCTTCCACTTAGGCCTCAACCTACCATTGCTTCTACTCCCATCACTCCAACACAAGAGCTCTCACCACGGTCATAACCTTCTTGTTCCTGAATCTAATGAACTTTCTTTTCAGCTCATACGTCGCTCCTTTGTTTTAAACATTTTAGATTTAGCGCCTTTTGTTTTAAACATTTTAGATTCCCTTTAGACAGTTTTGAACTCCCTTGGTTTAGACAACACTAAATTTTTCTGTTGTTTCTCCTTACCGCCTTGCTAGCTTTTCTTTCTCAGTCCCTTTGTGGGCTCATCCTTTTATGCAGTCACTACATGTTAGGTTCCCAAAGGCTCAATATCAGTCTCATGATCTCACTCATGCTCTCATCCTAGGTAACTGCTTCAAATGCCGCCTATTCACAAATGAGTCACAATTTTTTTATCCTCACCTGAGGCTATATTTTATTGGTTTTTTTTAAGATTATTTATTTATTTTTAGAGAGAGGGAGAAAAAGAGGAAGAGAAACATCGACATGAGAGAGAAATACCAATCGGCTACCTCTCACATGCAGCCTGACCAGGGACCAAACCTGCAACTAAGGTGTGTGCCCTGACAGAGAACTGAACCAGTGACCTTTGGCTTTAAGGTACAATATCCAACCAACTGAGTCACAATGGTCAGTGCTGTTTTACTGGTTTTTAAAGAAAGAGGAAAGGTGGGGAGGGAGACAGAGAGAGAGACATGAATAGGCTGCCTCCTGTAGTGCCTTAACTAGGGATCCAACCCACAACCTAGGTACGTGCCCTGACTGGTGGATTGAGCCTGCAACTTTTTAGTGTATAGGAAGACATTCCAACCAACTAAGCTATCCAGCAAGGGCACGAGTCACAATATTTTAACCCACATACCCAAACACCTACTTGACATCTCTTCTTAGATATTTCAAACCACTTCAAATCCAACATATCCAAATGCGAACTCAAGAGTTATCCCAGCCCATGCTTGGTCTACCACTGTGTACAGATATAGACCATATGTCAGGTTATGTTTGCTAAAAACTCAGAAGTTTTGTTTGAAATGTTACTCTCCTTTATCACAGCATATGTAATCCACCAGCAAGAACTGTTAAATTTACCTCCTAAATATCTCTAGAATCCATTCATTCTATCTCCATTGCCAGCATCTTAGTCTAAACTACCATCACCTCTCACAGAGCTTTACTGAAATGTCTCCCTACTAGTTTACCTGCCAATCCATTCTTTTTAAAATACAAATCTGATATCTGAACCCCCCTTCCTCAAAGGGCATTTTAAGGTAAAGACAAACCATCCTAATAGGGACTGTAAGACCCTACTGCAACTCTTCCTATTACTACCTGTATTCTAGCCTAAATACCCTTCTTTCAATTCTTGCATGCTTTTTCTTGCAACAGGGCCTTTGCACATGCTCTTCTCCTGGCCTGGGACTCACTTCCTTCCCTCTTCTCCTAGTTAACTCATCTTTATATTTTTATAACATAATCACCACTTCTTCAAATAAGACTTTATTGACTTTCTCAGACCAGGACCTATCCCCTTGACAAACTCCAATCCTACATGAACCCCAACTACCTACTTTCTTGTGCCTAGACCTGTACCGCAAAACTTGCTAAAGAAAGTCACTGATGTGTTCTCCCATCCTCAAATGCACCATTCAAGTCCTGCCATGCTTTCACAGGCAGTCATAGCACTATGTACCTCTACTTCATAGCACTTACCACAATTCTAATTTAACATTTATCTTTGTAGTAGGTGCCTGATGTCTGCCTCATGCATTTTATATTATCAACTCCAAAAGACAGCCTGCTTTCTTACCAATGTATCTCTAGTGCTTAGCCCCAGGGCTTGCTACAGTGTGAGCTCTCAAAATATGCCTATCAAATAGAGTCTGAAAATGCTTTAAAGTGCCTCACCTTGTAAATCTTCCATTAATTCAAACATTCCAGGATAGTTAACTTGAATTTCATCAGTATCCTATACAAAACGAAAGAGAAATATTTATCTGACGTTCATCACAAAACAATCCAGATTCAAAAGACCAGAGAGATTATCCAGACCAATATCGGTAAGTAGCAATCTTCTTTACAATATTCCTCACAGATGTCATTTGACTTATGCTTGATTTATGATGACTTCAAATTGCAGAATAAATATTCACTATTTTAAAAGAACTTTTTCTAAACCTCCATAAACTGGTTCTAGTTCTTTCTTTGGGAACACCACAGAATAAGTCTATTCTGTGCTTTGCGAACCACTACCCTCTTCTTCAAATCAAAAAACTCTGCCAAGACACTGTAGGGGAAAACCACTTTCTCACCCTAAATACGTCTCTTTAGCATGAGGATTATTTTAGGGTGATTGTTTTTAAAAAACAAAAGGCTCCAGAAGAGCTTTTTACCTTAACTGCCTAAAAGAATTTTGATAAAGGGTCTGGTCCAAGAAGAATACCATCACCAGGGATGACCAGAGGATGGGCTAAGTGTGGGAGGGGTAATTTGGCAGGACTTGAAGACCAAAGACCTTTCTGCAGCCCACATGGTACAGGAAACATTTGTTTACCAAATATATTTGGCCAACTCCGTGTAAACTTCCTTCCCCCTCTTTGAAGTCCCAGAATCCTACCCTTCTCTTTAATTCAAAATGCATATAAGCCCCAACTGCCTGTCTATGGGCCCCATATTCTTACAGAGTTCCCTTACATATAAAATTAAACAATTTTCTCTTACTGATCTGTCTCATATTAATTTAATTCTTAGACCAGCCAGAAGAACAGAGGAGTTCTACTCTATTCTACTCCTAGAAGAGAGGAGTAATTTTTCCTCCCCAACCATACCATTATTTTTTAGGGAGAAGAATTAGTCTTCAAGACAAAATTAGTAGATCCTTACATGTTCTCATTACATTTTTCTACACATAGTATCAACTTCTCTTAAAATGTGGCACCCAGAATCAAGCCAAAAAGGCTTATCTGCCAAGATGTTTTCATTCTACTTCAGTAATGCAGCACTAGTGCACTGGCCCTGAAGGATATGGGTGCACTGCTGACACATTCAGTTTATTTCTCAAGTGAACTTTTGGGCAATGATGGCCCATTCTTTATGAAGCTTGACACAGGAGTTTACTGTTGGTTCAGTGGCAGAGACTACTGATGCTCCCCAAATATCCAGCCACAAATAGGCATTTCTCTGACCAAAGAAAAGGGGGAGAGGACAGGGTAATAAAGAGTTAGTGAGCCTTTCCCAGTCTCTCTGTTTTGCTCTGGTGACCTTAGGAGACTCAAAGGCGAGAATGCTCAACTGTAAGATGGAGATGGGCTGCCCAACCAGCATGGGGCTGTGATAGAATAAAATTCTGTGTTAGCCACTAAGATCTAGCAGTTTGTCTTATTGAAAACTAGCCCTAAAATACAGTACACCCACTTTTTTTCAAGTTTGAATCAGAGTACCACACCTACCTCAAACTTATTTTACGTGTACAGAAGTACCTAGATCTCTGTGTTCTGTAACTTTATCTGTTGCCTATTCCTCCTAATTTTAGACTTTAATGTTGCACAGAATGAAGTACAAAGCCCAAAAGAACAGTTACCAAAAACATCCATTTTAATTCTTAAAGAAATTTAAAACAAAATGACCACTTTTTTTTTTTTTAATTTTAGAGGTACAAAACAAAGGATAAGCCAGAATTCACATACACTGTTGAGCGGGCATATAAACTGATGCTATCTTTTAGAGAGTATCTTGACACTATCCATCAAAATTTCAAATGCAAAGATTTTTTTGACCCAGCAATTCCTTTGCTAGAAATTGACCTGACAGATGTGCCAAAATCATTGCACCAGTCTTTGAAAGGACTAAAAAAAATACCCCCCCCAAAACTGGAAACAATCTCTATGTCCATTAATGGAGAACTCGTTAAAATGAAAGTGTATCTATTTAATGAAATACTATAGTTGTTAAAAAGAATGCAGTAGATGTATGTTTTTAGGGGAAGTTCTCCAAGGTATGTTATTGAATTTTTAAAAAATCAGTGCAATATAGAAAAAGAGTAAAAAAATGCATGTACCTATGTGTATATACATATATAGTTGCATATGGAGGTTTTCAGTGATATCATTGTATTTGGGTCTATGAGGAAATTGTTCTGAAAAGATGCATCAGACAGTTAACAAAAGTTGTCTCTAAGGAGAGGGACAGGGTGCCAGAAGTCAGGAAGAGGAACCTTCTTTTCACTTTAGGCTTAGTCTATATTTATCTCATTCTCTCTATCTATACATTTTTCATTTCCTTTTTTTAAACATATGCATGGATCAGGCTATGTGTGTACTTTTTAATAGGACCATCTCCAGGCACTCCATTTCTTCGATTTTTCTACTTAAAAAAACTATTTTTAAAAAGAGATCCTGCCCTGGCTGGTATGGCCCAGTTGGTTGGCCATCGTTGTGCAAACCCTAAAGGTTACTGGTTTGATTTCCAGTCAAGGCACATGCCTAAGTTGTGGGTTCAGTTTCAGGATGGGGCACATATGAGAAACAATTCATCAATGTTTCTGTCCCTCTCTTTCTCCTTCCTTTCGTCTCTCTCTGAAAATAAATAAATGAATAAATAAATAAATCTTTAAAAAATAGAGATCCTAAAATTAAAAACAAAATTTCTTCCAAGCTGATACCCAGCCATTAAGCAATATCCTTTGAAAACCATTTTTTAATGAAGCAAATTAAAAGAACTATCTCCATCTCAACCCAAAACAGCACCACAACAGCTTTGTCAAGGCCTTACAAAAAATAAGGTGGACCATATCTGCATTTTCCCCTAACATATTAGTGTGGCAACTGTAAAAGGAAATGGGCTTCATTTAGAATGCCACCTGACTCTGAAAGTAATTCACTAAGACAGTCCTATAAATGTAATATAACTACTTGGTTTTAATTTCACTTGATTTCATTTAAAAGTAAGAAACCATCACAGTATAATAGTAATACATTTAATGTTGTATGCAACATAAATCTGTGTAAATGATTATATAAAAGCTTTTTTGGATGGAATATTTAAAAAATGAATTAGAATGCAACATTAATACAGCACTTTAGAGAAGGTGTATGTCTCAAGGAACAAAGTTATAGATTTATTCTTAAATCAATGTCTTCCTGATTTTATAAAGTACAAAGAAGATTTGACACCAACGTATTTGTATTATATTAATGGCTCAGTCATTCAGTTCATTTTTGAAGAATATGGAGGGTATTCTGAATTAATAGCTTTTCCAAATAACAGAAATGTAGGCTGTATTGGGTGTCAGCATTTTTAGTAGAAATCTTTCTAAAATGCACAATCCACTTGTCAACCATGGAAAACTGCATGGATTAACATCACTCAACCTTCTTTTCCAGACTCAGGATAGAAGTCCTATCTTTTTCCTAATAGGCAACAACTCTGGAGCCCCCTAACGTCACTGACCACTAACGTGTGGCACAGTACAAATTTTTAACATATCCCAATGGACATTTGTACTACACATCTCCATAGTACTTCCATTACCTACATCCCCTCTTACACTTTTAGTATCTTTTTACTTTCCCATTCATGATTCTCTTCATTTCACTTCAGTTTGTAACATAGTAATATGGGAGGCAGTCCTTGCTTTTTGTTAGAAATGTTATTCATCTGCTTGAAGGGGTGGGTAGGGAGAGAAACATCAATGCAAGAAACAGATTGGTTGCTTCCTGCATGTGCCCCAACTGAGGACCAGACTGAGAATTGAACAGGCAACCCAACCTGCAACCCAACCAACCGAGCCACGCAAGCCAGGGCTGGGAGGCAATTCTTAAAAGGGTTAACTGTAAAGATAACCTTTTCCTTATTATAAGTAAACTGAATACTAGAGATTAATGCTTGGAATCAATGGATTCTGATCTGTTTTCAATCACAGTCCTCTCTCAGGATGTGGTAAAAAATAGAGGCCCTTTTCTACACATACAAACAGCAAAAAACATGTTAACTTACAGTATCCAGTGTTATTGGACCCCCTAAAGTCTACTGACAGGCCCTCCATAAATAAATTCAAGAAAATCAGGCAGGGATTTCTGTTTTGTTCAATTGCTATGTCCAAAGTACCTAGAATAGTGCCTGGCACAGAGAAGGTACTCAATAAATGTTAGTTGTAAGACTGAATAAATAAATGAAAACAATAAAAGAATAGTCATTTCAGAATTGCTTCTCTTGGCAAAAAAGCCTACCAACAACAAAAAACTGGAACCTAATGTTCATTAGGGAAATAGTGAAATAAAACTGTGGGACAGTCTTACTACGGCATAATGTGCAGAAGTTAAAGAGGGCAAATACATTCATATGGATTTGGAAAACAATCTAAAATATTCTGTTAAGGATGAGAAATAAGTCTCAGAAATGTGTCTCTCTATATAGTACGGTAGAGTATGACAACAGCTACTTCCAGGGCAGCAGGTCTCAGTGTGGTCTGGGGAATCCTTGGGCCCCTGCTGCCCTGGAAGTGGCTGTTATCACACTCCACCACTCTATGTATCTGAGTTTTTCATGAATATGCAATGGGATTTTTCAGAAATTACATGACATGTGATACTGCGACAGGTGTAAACCCGGAAGCAGACATGAGAATCTAGCTTTTATTACGACATATGTTAAAGGAATACATAAAAATGGAAAGCAATGATATTCTTTTCTCTCATTTTTCTTTCTTTTTGAAAATATAGTTCTTTTTCACACAAAAAATAGTTATTTATGTTAAAATGTAATGGGTACTGGTACATCATTAGTTTTAAATGAATAATTGCTAAAATTCAGTTTTAATTTCCAATATAATTAATGCTGACAGATATAATACACATAAACAAAAACCTTTTAAGGTCTTCAGTAATTTTAAGTGTGTACAGGGGTCGTAAGACCAAAATTTTGAGAATTGTTGCTTTCAGGAGAAAGCTCAGATTTTGGGGACTAAAGGAAATGACAGAGTTTCATTTTATCTATAGTGTGTAATGTTTACAACTAAATATATTTGTGTTAAAACCTATATGATTAAAAATATAGTGATCCCCTCAATGCATCACTTCCTATATTGAGTGTTTGTTTTCATTAAAAGCAGAATCTTCACATAAAGCAGTTTTCCCATCTTCAGCATCTGCCTAACATCTCAGGATGCAGTTTTTATTGACTCATGCTATTTACAAGTTTACAAAAGACAAAAGTGAAATCTTAAGGGCTGTTATCACTTCATAGCCTATTGTCTCTTCCTTCCCTCAAAGTCCCTTTGCAATAACAGAAGCCCTGGTCTATGCCCCACCTTTCTATCAAAATAAAGAAGGACAGGACAATCCATTTTTGGTTGGCTGATTTTATGAAATACATTCACAATAAATTACCTTAAACATTTATTTTGATTTTAAACCTATGGTCTCTAATTATGCAGTGAGAAGCTTTTCTTCATCAGGAAATCCCTATTTTGTCCTGGCTGGTGTAGCTCAGTAGATTGAGTATGGGCCTGCGAACCAAAGGGTCACTGGTTCAATTCCCAGTCTGAGAACATGCCTGAGTTGCGAGCCAGGTCTCCAGTAGGGGATGTGGGAGAGGCAACCACACACTGATGTTTCTCTTCCTCTCTTTCTCTCTCCCTTCCTGTCTCTCTAAAAACAAATAAACAAAAATCTTTTTTAAAAAAGAAAGAAATTCCTATTTCTCCTAATCAGGTTTAAAGATGTTTCTAGGCCTGAGGGGTTCAGAAAATGATAGAAAGTCTACTTAGCAATCTCTGAAGGCAGTAATGGCATCCTTTAGAATTACTCTGCTATTGAAAGGAGTTGGAAGGGGGTAATCATTTTCTATCTAGACGACCTGCTGATGGAATCCTTAGTCTGGACAGTGCTAAGAGTAGAATGAGGGAGAGAGAAGAAAACAGGAGCTAATATTTACTGAGCATCTGCTAAGGTGCAGCCACTTCTTACCCTTTAAACCCTAACAGCCACCCAAAGTGAGTAATATTTACATTAAAAAATAAAAATTGAAAACAAAAAAAGAATGCTCAGAGAAGTAAAATAAATCTTTCAATTCCCCTGGCTAGTAAAGGGACAAGGTAAGGATCCAACTTATCCCTGTCGGACACCCATGCCCTCTTCTACCACTGTATCATGCTGACTCCATGTTCCTTCTGCCCTGAAGGCCTATGGGTCCACTTTCCGGATCTCTCCAGCCCTAATGGAGTACAGCCCCATCCTACATTCTCTAACCCTTGTCAATGCACATTCTCTCATTTCTGCTTCACATTGCACTATTTCAATTGATGACCGAAGACAGTAGTAGTACTGTAAACGCTCCTATGTATATCCCCTTTTAGCTATGTCTTAAAAAATAGCCTCCTTGTTAACTGAGGTAGATTGTTTCTCAACTACTATTCAAATAACTAATACTAAAAATTTTACATTCCTGCTTTGTGTCAGTCAAGACGTGTTTATACAAACTAAATTTTTTAAAAAGTACCAATAATAGCCTCGATACCTACAGTTTTCTATCTTTAAAATGAGAAGTTGCTTCTGAACTGTGTAATTAATGGATCAGCCAATTCTCTTGATAGTTACCACAGTCAGTGTATTAAAGCCAGCTCTCCCCAGCAAATGTCCTAGGTCATTGACAGCAGTGAAAGGAGACACGTGTGGAGAAAATCCTCCTTCCCTCTCCGTTTCTGCTAACTGTAGTGAACACCGAAGTTCATAGAGAGTGTCGCCTCCAAACATTGCACCAATAAAAACGCCATCTGGTTTTAAAACATAATGAATCTGTAATAAATATAAAACAACATAATTATTCAAAATGTTATATATAAAATGGTAAAAATATATATTTTTATAACTAAATCAGTACTTTACGATTATCATTCTTATTTTGTCAAATTAATAATTAAATAAATAATTTGATAAACAGCACCTAGGGCAACAACTGTCAAAAAGGCACTGCAGTATAATATTGTTGTAAAGATAGATAATATGTAATTGACACTACTAGTATGTATAAAATATGTTTTTAAAATTCTAATAGGTAGATACAACTTACTTTTATTATCAAAAAAATACTGAAGGGAAAAATAGGATAGCGTGGTAGACTGCGAAAATTCACAATTCTCTCTGTATCTGCGCCCTCTGAAATGCCACTCTGTAACAACGCCCATCAAGAGATGGAAGTTGTTGTCCTTGAATCTGGGCTGGACTTACAACTTGCTTTGGCCAAAAGAATGTAGTGAAAGTGACAGTGTGTCAGTGTCAAGCCATGGTCTCCAATGGCCTTGCATGCTTCTACCTGTTCTCTTGGAGCCTGGTCTGGCCATCATGTTGTGAACAAGCTAGTCTGGTGAAGGATGAGGGGCAAGAGGAGCAGAGATAAGTCTCCCAGCTGAGGCCATCCTTGACCAGCAAGCTACAAGACAATCCAGCAGCAGACCACAGGCACGTGGATAAGCCAAACCAGAACCAGAAAAAATTCCTAAGTCCAACCAAAATTCTCAACCCACAAAATCATAAGCTGAGTAAACTGTTGTTTTAAACCACTAAGCTGGGATGCCTTGAACTGCAGAAAAAGCTAACTGATAGAGAAACAATTATAATTCACATTAGCCTGGAAACACATTAGTTTTTCTTAAGGAGATGTAACTAACTTACTTTCTAGTTTGAAAACAAAAACACTTTTTAACTGGTAACTTAAGCAAAATAGTGGCTACAATGAATTCCAGAATTGCATATGTTTACTCACTGACTCTCAGACCTACAATCTGTAACTAGGTTTGACTGGCTATTCTCAACCATGAGAAACATTACAGGAAAGAATGGCTCTGAAGTAAAGCAGGATCCAAATCACTGCAGGCTGTTTTAATCAAAGCACCATCTTGAATCTATAGTAAATATATTTAATGATATATTTAACACAAATATTTTACCTTACAAATATATTACAAAGTATAAAATACATTTATTACAAAATATGAAGCAATTACAAACAGTATGTAAGCAGACCAACTGTAAAATTATTGGTTTCCTCCCTTCTGCTCCTTTCATGTTACTTCCTCCACTAGTCACCAAACTCCAGTATAGGAAGTACCTAATATTTAGCAGCTCTGAAGCTTCTCTCTACCTCAGAGGGCTTATCAATTCTCATGGATTTCATGAGGATTATTTTTCAAACTCTATCTTTAGCTTGTACATCTCAGAACTCTAAACTCATGTTCAACTTCCTTTGCCATGGATATTTGTCTCTTGACAAACTCACTCCCCAACACGACCAACACATATATCACCCTTAGTTGTAAACCAACTCCCCTTTACAATCACTATATTGCTGTTAATTATCATTTTCTATCCCTTTATCCGATCATAATCATTCCTTTCCCTACATTTATTAATTATTCTCCCAGGCATCCCAACTCAAAACTTCAAGATGAGCTTTGACTTCTCCCTCTCTCTGATACTCAGATCTAACCAGGCATTGTGGATTCTTCCTTTGTAGAGTCCCTCAGTACTTCTCTTTCTTTTAACTACTATCATTGCCACCTAGGTTTAGTTTACCTCATGCCTGGACCACTGAAACAATCTCACTTCCACTGAGTCAACTTCTGGCATAAGTTTTCTAATCAACAAAATGAAGTCATCTGGCAGAGTTACTTAACATCTATAACAGAGCACAGTGAATGAGTGATTGGCAAAGAGCATGTGCTTAAGATACAGTAGTTATTACCTTTTTAAAAATATATTTTACTGATTATGTTATTACAATTGTCCCATTTTCCTCCCTTCACTCCCCTCCACCCAGCACACCCCCTCCCACCCAAATTCCCCCCCTTTACTTCATGTCCATGTGTCATACATACAAGTTCTTTGGCTTCAACTTTTCCCATACTATTTTTACCCTTCCCCTGTCTATTTTCTACCTACCATCTATGCTACTTATTCTTTGTACCTTTTCCCCCTCTCCCTCTCCCATTCTCCCTACTGATAACCCTCCATGTGATCTCCATTTCTGTGGTTCTGTTCCTGTTCTAGTTGTTTGCTTAGTTTGTTTTTGTTTTAGGTGTGGTTGTTAATAATTGTGAGTTTGCTGTCATTTTACTGTACATATTTTTTATCTTCTTTTTCTTAGATAAATCCTTTTAACATTTCATATAATAAGGGCTTGGTGATGATGAACTCCTTGAACTTGACCTTACCTGGGAAGCACTTTATCTGCCCTTCCATTCTAAATGAAAGCTTTGTTGGATAGAGCAATCTTGGATGTAGGTGCCTTTCATGACTTGGAATACTTCTTTCTAGCTCCTTTTCGCCTGTAATGTTTCTTTTGAGAAATCAGCTGACAGTCTGATGGGGCTGCCTCCTTATCTCTTGCTGCTTCTAGGATTCTCGCCTTCATTTTAATCTTGGGTAATGTAATTATGATGTGCCTTGGTATGTTCCTCTTGGGTCCAACTTCTTGGGACGCTCTGAGCTTCCTGGACTTCCTGGAAGTCTATTCCCTTTGCCAGATTAGGGAAGTTCTCCTTCATTATTTGTTCAAATAACTTTTCCACTTGTTGCTCTTCCTCTTCCCCTCTGGTACCCCTATAATTCACATGTTGCAATACTTAAAGATGTCCCAGAGTTCCTAAGCCTCTCCTCATTTTTTTTGATTTCTTGTTTCTGCAATCTTTTGTTTGGGTGTTTCTTTCTTCCTTCTGGTCCACTCCATTGATTTGAGTCCCAGTTTCCTTCCCTAATCAATCACTATTGATTCCCTGTACATTTTCCTTTATTTCACTTAGTGTAGCCTTCATTTTTTCATCTAATTTGTGACCAAATTCAACCAATCCTGTGAGCATCCTGATTACCAGTGTTCTGAACTGTACATCTGATAGGCTGGCTATCAGTTTTTGCTTAGTTGTATTTTTTCTGGAGCTTTGATTTGTTCTTTAATTTGGGTCATTCTTTTTTTTTTTTTTTTTTTTGTCTTGATGCACCTATTAAGCAGTGAGGGGTGGAGCCTTAGGTGTTCACCAGGGTGGGGTAACCCACATCACTGGGTTGTGATGCTATTTGTGGGGCAGGGGTCAGAGAGGGAACAATGGCACTTGCCAGCTTTCAGTCACTTCCCCTGCTTCCCACAAGCAACTTGGCCCCTTCTGGTGCTGATTCCCATGTGGGTGGGTTTGTGTACATTCTAGGACCCTGTGGGTCTCTCCAACAAACTTTCCTGTGAGACTAGAAGTTTCTCCTGCTGGCCCCTCAACCCCCACAGGTATTTTCAATCAGTGATTTGAGGCTTTATTTCCGGGAGCTGGCACCCTGGGTTGTGTGGTCCATCCTGCTCCCCTTTTGTTTTGCCTGGTTTATCTGCATGCAGATGCAGGCAGTCTACCAGCCTCTGCCTTGCTGGCCAGCTGCAGCCTTGCACACCCCACCCTGTTCCACAATCCACCTACTTGCTGGGTCCTCCAGCCGCCACCTTGATACAAGTCCTCTTTACCCTGGCTGCCTGACTCTGCCCCTCCTACTGGTCTGGATGAATGTGTCTTTAACTCCTTGGTTATTGGACTTCCATACACTTCGATTTTCTGTCCATTCTGGGTGTTTTTTGTTTTTAAATTGTTGTTGTCCTTCTTTTGGTTGTGCAAGGAGGCACAGTGTGTCTACCTACACCTCCGTCTTGGCTGGAAATTGAGATATGATAGTTATTATCTTGCCCACCAGCTGTATAATCATGTCACTTTCCTCCTCGAAATTCCCCAGTAACTCTGAACTGCATAAAGAATAAACTCCAAATTTCTTAATCTGTCACCCAAGTCCTCCTAAACCTAGTCCCCATATAACCTCACCCCCAAGCATTAATAAGCTAATCCTCCAAACAGGCTTACTGTTTGTCCTTTCTTGCTCCTGGGGCTCTTATAACCCTCCCCTCTGGAATGCCTTTCCACTCCAAACCTGACCTACCCTCTAAGGCCTTTTTCAAGTAATTCCCTCCTCTTGAAGCTTTCTTGGCAGATCCAAGTGAGTGTGATCTCCTTTCCTCCCCTGGACACAGTGCTTTTTACCTACCACCCATCCGTTCGCTGATAAATATCAACCAATGAACATTTACCTAGAACTCTCTAAATATAAGGCATAAGGGAGAAGAAAGATGGCGACAGAGTAGAAAGGAGCAGATTCCACTTCCCCCTACACACGGGAGAAAAACCTGGCTGATTATGGAGGAACAGAGCAAACAGCCAAAAGTACCCCAGCACATATGAAAATAAGAGACCAAGCATTGTAGCGGACACTGAAAAACCAGATCATAAGGAGAGTGCTTCAGGACAATAAGGTCCCAAGGACCATCTCAGGGACCAGGGGGGCTGTAGCCCCGGGCCCAGAATCCGTGCTGCCACTGCACTGGGTCCACCAGAGACTCCTCGGGAGCTGCAGGCCTGCCACAGAGTCCTTGGGGGAGAGCCAGGTCAACTGCTCCCTCCCTCCCCGGCCAAATAAGGTTTAAGCAGCACCAGAAGAGACCTGGTTGCTTGAAGTCACAGAAAGGGGAATAAGGACAAAAAGGCAAACACACAGGGGCTGTGATCACCTGCTGAGCCTGTGGTCACCAGCTTGGGAGAGTTAAGAGTTGCGTAGTGACAAGCACTGACCCCGTCACCAGTCTGGCTGGAGAATTAGGCTGTACAAAGCAGCAGGCTTGAGTAGAAGGAATTTCTCAAAAAGATAAACTGAAGAATTCTCCTGCAACAGCCACTCAGCCTACTCCCCACCCAGCCAGCCAGCGATCCTGAGGTTGT